GTGTTTGCTAAAATCATTGTCTGGGCTCCAACCCCAGGGATTCTGATTCAATAGGTCAGCATTGGCTCATGAACTTGAATTTCTAACCAACACATAGGTGATGGCCATGCCTCTGTTAAGGGCACTGTGAGAATCATGGCTCTGAGAGACTGAGGGCAAGCTGCAGGGGTTACGGGAAAGGTGGCACGGGCTCTGGTGCACAGGTGGGTCTTTGGTATGCTTAGCGTTGGAGAAACATTGCAGGAAAGGGTGACAGTTACCAGTTAGATTCAGTACTTCTCAGTGTTTCTATGACCGGTATTATTTGGCACACACAGAAACCACAACTTTAACTTTCCACATTTACCACTGTTTTATGTGATTTGGGTCTAAAAGGAAAATGGTCATGCACCAATTTTCTAGGAACCAGGGAGGTTATGTTATTCCTGGGTTACACCAAATACTGGTTATTTTAAAAAATCATTTTATTGCAGTATAATTCATATGCCAAAAATTCACCCACTGTAAGAGAACAGTTCAAGGATTTCTGATACTGTGCAGCCATCACCACGGCCCAGTGTTAGCCCATCTCCACCATCCCAGATAGCTCCCTCAAAGTCTAGTACTTTTGATTGTGAATTCTGTTATGTATATGTTCAAGTACCTTTCCAATGAACAACAGTGCCTTTTAAAGCCCTTTGTATTTTTTCAATTGTTCTAGATTCAATAAATAGGCCACTGTTTCATTAAGTTAGTCTTAATAAATTTGTGAGGTTTGTGCCATTTGCCTAAAATGAAATACTTCAACCAGTGGGTATTATTATAGTATTGAATACGTGCCAGGCACTGCTTCGCCATCTCTTAAAATAATCCTTTAGAAGTATACTTCTCACCATTTAAAACAGTACTCTCTTTACGTTAATGCAATAGTCACATATTCGAACACCCACTGTGTAGCATGCAGTGCACTAAAGGATATACAGATGAATAATACATGGTTGATCCCTGGCTTCCAGGGGCTCAAGACTCTAGGAGATTAGATGAAAATGTAAACTAAGAAATAGAGTATAATTCTATAATGAAGTCCACTGGAACCTCCACCAGAATTCCAGTGGAATTCTGTAATGAAGTCCGCCAGAAACTGTGAATCAGAATGGCAGAGTGAAAAAGTGGTATCAAATCCTATACTCTCTGTGGCATTCTTGCTCCGGACATTGGTTTCACTGCCCCGTCTGAACTCTGCCTTCCAAACGTGATCTCTCTTGAAGGCCTTATCAGACACAAATCTTTTCCTTAAAAAACCCTGTGACCAGAGTATCCCAATAAAAGGATACAGTTTTAAGCCTAATGATCCCAACAGTGATGCATCCTCTGATGGTCTACATTTTATAGTGAGAATCAGTAATCCACTTATTTGGCAAGCATCTACCAGTACTGTGTTAAGTATTTTTGAGCAAATTGAAAAACAAAAAATTCCTTGTCTCATTGAGAAGATAAGACTTGCATATATAGAATTAAAGCAGGAGTGCAAAGAAGCTTATGGTAAAGTTCTACATTAGATGTGAGTCATGCCAAAACTCCAGGACGGACAGTAAATGCTCTGTGGAACTAGGTTTGCTGTCCTTAAAACAGGAGTGCCTGATGCCTCTTAACCATTCTGGGGCAGGCAGGGCACAAGGGGCATTATAGAACATTGGGTTATATAAGGTGTATTAGTCCATTTTCACACTGCTATTAATATAAAGAACTGCGCAAGACTGGATAATTTATAAAGGAAAGAGGTTTGATTGACTCACAGTTCAGCATGACTAGGGAGGTCTCAGGAAACTTACAGTCATTGAAGCAGAAGCAGGCATGTTTTTCACAAGGAAGCAGGAAGGAGAAGTGTGGAGCAAAGAGGGAAGAACTCCTTATAAAACCGTCAGATCTCTAGAGAACTCACTATCACAAGAACAGCATGGGGGAAACCAACCCCATGATTCAGTTACCTCCAGCTGGTCTCTCCCGTGACATGTGGGGATTATGGGGATGATTGGATTATAATTCAAGTTGAGACTTGGGTGGGGACACAAAGCCTAACCATATCACAAGCTAAATACCATTGTAAGGGGGGAGGCATAAAGTTAAAGAGGGATTTCTTTCCCCTCATAGGTTTGGACTGGACTGTCATTTACTTATCTGTATTAATTAAGTCTCCCAATTTAAATTAACTGTGTAGAAAATAAATGGACTGGATCATATTGGAAGTCAAGAAGATGTGGCTACTAGTCCTATTGCTTCATTTAACGGTGTTCTCTTTTTTAAGCTTTTCCCCATTTGCGACAGAAAAACAAGGCACCTGGTTTCCTTAGAGCATTATTGATAATCTTTGGGATGATCATAAAATGATTGTGCTTGAGAATGAGAATGGGCATAAATAAAGCTAAAATGCAAAGGTGCCTTATCCATAGCAATGGTTTGTTTGCTTTTCAGAATCTAATCTTTTCCTTCATTTTTCATATTTTTGAATTGGACTTGACGATGCATGTCTCCTGTCTCCTCAAATGTATTTCAGTATGAGGATCATAGGAGAAGTATCTTATTTCTGTTCAGAGGCCACTATGGTTGAGAACCAGGGATGTGGCCATCAACTGGTGGGTCCGTGTGACTTCTTCACTAGATCTGACATGCTCTGGTTTTGAATATTAGGCTGGTCAGAGAGCAATGTCAATCCTCCTATTCCATAGCCAGCACCAAAGACAAGCAGTCCAAATGACAACAGCCCAGCAATGAAAGGTAATAACAGCATTTTATCTCCCTGAAATGACAGCTGCCTTCCTTTCCAGTGGCCTAACCTATTTTCTATACTTCTCTACTAATTTTCATTTGGACATCTAGGGCTCAAAGCAGGGCTACGAGATGGAGAATTTTGCATAATCCCAGAAATTACATTCTGACTTCTTTTTCTAGCATAATGTCCTCATCCATAATTCCCTTTATCAAACTGTACCTATTGTGGATGAGTCAAATATCTACATGTGGTTGGGTGGTCCCCAAGTTTGGTTGGAAATACCAAGATATGAAAGGCCTCTGAGGTTTGCTATCGTTAGCCAAAAATACCATTGCCACCACCATATAGGGCATTTAATTTGTGCTTCTCAGAAAGGGCCAGGTTTCGTAGTTGTCAAATGACGTCTTTTCAAGTTCATAAGATCTGTTCTCTTTTGGGACAGTTCCCCCAAGGGAACCTCTGCTCGACTGAAGATCTCATCTGTATTTGCAGCTCTCTTTCTGTTTCTCTGGTCATCGCTGATTTTTCCCTTTGTTGGCCACAGGAAGTTAAAGGACAGGTCTACTCCATTATCATCAGAACGTGTTCCCATGATGTTCTTTTAAGTGTTGTGCAAATAAGTTGCACCTGCTTTGTCTCCAGCAGCGGCTGCCTGGGGAACGTAAGGATTGTCCCAAAGCACAGTCACTGGCTTCTCACGGCAAGGCCACGATAATGCTCAGAGGACCTCCTAAGACCCTTGAGGAGGTTAGAAGGAAGGGGAAACAAGTGTGTAGCATATTTTCACTGGAGTCATCTTCAAAATATTTTGAAATCCTCTAGCAAGAATAATAGAGATAGGCTAATCCAGCAAAATCAGTCATGCACCATAGAGTTTCCTTGGGGATCTCCTACATGACTCAAGAAAGTTGAGTGACTCCCTTTTTTTAGGCAGTTCCCTGCCTGCTCCCCCTCCAACTAAGCTATATTGAGCTCTCTTGTCTCAGATAATCATATCAAGATAAACCAGGTGATCCCAGGGCTAATTGCACATGGAATTCAATCAGTGTCACATACTAATAACTTTCATATTACCAACTAGTCTTGATACAGTTTTCTCACTATCATAGATACATTGATTTTTACATGTAGATATGTTGATATCTATAAGACTTTTTTTAATAAAAAGAGAATCAGAAATATAAAGTGATCAGTATACTATCTTAGCAGTTCAGTGCCATTTTTATGAAAGGATCAAAGGCCCTGTTTATATTGATATCCCATTGCTTCTATCCCATCACTAAGCACTTTTAGTAACTTGTCCTACCAATAATTTCTGAGACTCTTTTCAGCCAGATGGCAAGCACATTCCTACCTGCTCTCAGCCAGAAGGATCGCCCATCAGAGACATTTTCTTCATGTTTCTGACACTCCCACCTGTTGGAGAAGAAAAAAAGCACAGGTCATCCAAGCCAATGAACTTAGAAGTTCATGTGGAATGATTTATGTATTTTAAACAAAGCCTCCATCTTATTTAGGAACCACGTGCACGAGGCACTGTTTTGAAAATGTTCCCCTCATCTGGAAAACAGTTGGCTGCATATTCATGGTATTCAGGAAGTTAGGGCAGATCTTTTGGTGGAAGAGCAGAAGGGAGTATTCCAGTACGGCTGAAGAGTATAGGGAATTGACCCCCCGGGAGAAGGAAAGGCATGTCAGGGCCCTCCTTGTTTTGACAGGAAAGGATTGAGGAAGGCAGTGACTCTGAGAAGAAGCCAGACCTGGGCACCAAGCCCTTCTGGGCCTGTTGCTTTGAAGGGTAAAAAGAGTGGCCATAATATTTCTCCTGACCCAGCAGATTTAAAAAGATTCCTCCAGCAGACAGTGGAAAGCCCCTTGCTTCCTCAGCCATTCAGGCTGATTTCTGAAATAACTATGCTATTTCCTGGTTGTGGTGAAGCGGCAGGGCCTGAGGTTTTGAGCAGCTTTTCATGGGCTATGGCCATTAGTGGGGTTGGGGTGCAGGTGGGAGTTTGTTAACACAAAAGCTTGTTATTCATGGAGCTTCGGGCTATGGTTTGGAAATGGTCACCAACTGATTGACCAGTCACGGGAGCTGTAATTTCCTAACTGTTGTCAGAGACAGAGTGCAAAGGGATTTATCTGATTGAACATCCTGCATTTTAAGATGACCTGGACCTGCCTGCATCCCACATGGCAGAGGCGGCCATTTGGAAGGTGGGTTTGCTCATGTTTCCTCTTCTCTCCCCAGAACCTGCTAAGGCTGCCTCGGACCTGACTGCCTGGTTCAGCCTCTTCGCCGACCTCGACCCACTCTCAAATCCTGATGCTGTTGGAAAAACCGATAAAGAACACGAATTGCTCAATGCATGAATCTGCACCCTTCAGGAGGGCGCTTACATGAGGCCCCCAGAAGCTCCCCCAGGGGCTAGCAGAAGTGTAAAGTGATCAGTATCCTGTTTTAATAATTACGTGCCATTTTAATAAAATGAAAGGGTCAACAGCCCTGTTTATATTGGTATAATTATTTACTCTTATTTGGTATAAAGGGTTTTCGTGTATCTCTACGTGGATCTAAACAATACAGGATTGTCTAGAAGCAGTTTCCAGGCCGCCGCTCTCCTGCCTACATCCCATCATGGCTGCTGCGGTGTCACTGGGCTACCGTGAGATCCAAGTTGAAATCAGAAGCCTACTTTGATGGTAGGTTTGAATGACGTGTCCTACAGCCTCAGAGGCAGCAGGAGGTTAGCAAAGCTTAAATGCCTCCTTCTCTATCCCCAGCCTCTGTCCCCCTTGGAGGAGGGCTGTAGAAAGATTCCCTCTTCCTGCCAAGCCATCTTCCAGTGAGCTCCGGATGAAGCTCTGGCCAACCAAAGACACTGTCCCACAGCAGGTGCCTGGTGGGCCACATGTTCTCACACTGGCGGAGGAGCCAGGCTTCTCTCCAAGGCACAAACTTTTCTATGGAAAGCAGCCATATTTGCAGATACCACTGTCTCCTTTTGTCCTCTTCGTGGCTGGAATTCAAAAGCATGTATTTCTGAAGCCCCTTGTGACTTCTTTTTTTTTAATTAAACAGAAAAGATATTTGACATGCAAAGTCAAGTTTATGGAGTCTGTTGTGGGGACTCAGTGATGCGCTGAGGAAGGTGCTATGGGTGTGGGGGCTGGAGTGGGACAGAGGAGGAGGATGGGTCTCAACTGCAGCCTTGAAGCTGTTGATTTGACCCCATGCACCACCCAGATAAGGCAGCAGCAGGAAAGACGACATGGGGCTTGCAGGATCAGGCAGGGGTGGGAGCCACAGTTTTACATTTGGGCAACTTGGATAGAGTCCCCAGAGCTGGCAGCTCTCCCTGCCATGCATGTCACAGGTGACCTGCTGAGTGAGGGCCCACACACATCTGTGGAAGCCCATGTACACCCCTTTCAATGACCCAGAGGCCCAGAGTAGGGGTGGAATCAACGCCTTCCCAAAAGATGGTTCCACATGCTTGGTTGGGCCAGGAGTTCTCTCCAGGGCTCCTGCAGCATCAGCGCCCAGCTCTGAAAGGGCTTCCTGGGGCCACTTCCTGAAACACACACACACACACACACACACGAACAGCTCTGGAAGGGCATGGCCACAGCAATAACCTCCATCCCTACAAGACCTCCTTGGAGGACTGGAGATGGGGGCTGTTGAAGGTGTTCTTTCTCTGCACAGGAAAGTACACTGCAGGTGAAATTAAAGACCCTGATGCAAGCAGACCCCTGCTCACATCTGGGTCTACCATAAGCTGTCCAGGGGGTCTCCTTTGTTAGAATCTCATTTAGCAGATACCTTACCCTGGCACTGGTGGCGTTTGAGGATGTGAAGAGTTCAAAACCAGGGCCTCACCTTGTGAGCATTCCTGCACTCATACGGGAGTCTTTGCTGTACCCTCAGCCTCTGCTCTAAACCCTGGGCCTGTGTGTTTGCTGTGCACTTCTCCTGGGATGCCATCACAACCCTACCTACCCTTCCAGAGCCTCCACAGAGCCCATGTGCTCCACAAGGACCTCTCGAAGTGCAGCCCCCAGGTCCCAGGTCTCCTGTGAGAAGCCAGCCCTCATCTCTCCCTGACACTTCATCAGTTCCTGCCCTCCCTTCCCCTCTCCCATCTTGCCAAGCAATGCTAGGATGGTGCTTGCCCTGGCCTCCTGAGGACTGTGCTTTATGCATCTGCCTCTACCACTAGGTGCTACGACGGTCTCCCTGTTTCTCCAAATCTGTCTCCCCAGCAGTCAGCACCCTGGAGTCACCTCGACAGCAATGGATTAATGATTGCGGAGTTGAGCTGCCCTGCATAGAATGTGGACTCAGTCCTAGTTTCATCCTGGTTCACATTTGCAGGGGTGAGAACACTGCAATCGCAGTAAGAAGATGAGGCAGGAGGCGCTGACTCGCTCAGTCCAGGCTAGAGGCCCAGAGAGCTCTGTGGGGGAGAGGGTAGGAGTGAAAGGGAGTGGAGGTAATCAAACTGATTACTTTAAATACTAACAGGTGGCATTTAAACATTGCTCTGAGGGTGGAGGGGAGAGGAAGATTGTGGCAGCTGGACAGGCTTTGCGAATTGCACATGGAGGCATTTTCTCCCCAAATTTTCTTGACCTTAAAAAAAAACCAAAAACGATTCAATTCCCTTTTCTATCTGCAATCCACTTGGCCAGCCTCTTGGTCCCTTGTGATATTCGTGTTTTGATCCGGGCTCAAGCAAAGCCACCTAGACCACTTTTCCAGTTTAAGAAGCAGCAGCTGCTGCCTGATTCTCTTTTAAGAGGCCTGCGTGCTGACCTCGCCAAAGGGCTTCCTCCAGGCTCCACCTCCCGGACCCGCCTCAGCCGCCCGCCCGCCGGTGGACTGGCCCTGCCGTGAAGACAAAGGTACTCGACCCTCCTCCTGTACAGTTCCACTTGTCCCTCGTTGTCACTTCATGTTGGGAGCCTGGTCTGAATCACAGTTGCACTGAAAGCTTTGGGGAGATTCGGAAAGCACCTGTTCCTGGAAAGCTTTCATGCCAATCCCGGTGGGGTGGTCCGCCAGGCTCCTTCCCCCTCCCCCAGCCATTTAAAGAATATACAAATTGGAGGGAACCAGAGACAATTCTTTTTCCTTCTTTCTTCTTTCCCCAGCTGGCATGGGCTCTTGGTGTACTTTATAGATTCATTTCCTTCAAAATGTAATTTTAGAAATGTCAAGTTGATTTTTGAGTTCTGGGAAAGTGAGAAAAGCACCCGTCAGCTTCAAAATTAGAAATGCACCAACTTAGGAAGAACCAGCACTTTTTGTGAGTGGTTTTTGCCCAAAAAGACGTGATCTATTCAGAGTTGGCAACCCTGGGCAGCCAGAGGCGTCAGTGGGCCTGTAGGCGGGGCTTATGCATGGTGCTGTTATTACCAGACAGGGGTCCCAATCCAGACCCCAAGAGAGGGCTCTTGGACGTCGCATGCAAGAAAGAATTTGGGGTGAGTCCATAAAGTGAAAGCAAGTTTATTAATAAAGGACGGTGGGCGCAGTGGCTCACGCCTGTAATCCCAGCACTTTGGGAGACTGAGGGCAGACCACCTGACGTCAGGAGTTAGAGACCAGCCTTGGCCAACATGGTGAAACCCCGTCTCTACTAAAATTTTTTAAAAATTAGCTAGGCCTGGTGGCGGGCGCCTGTAATCTCAGCTACTTAGGAGGCTGAGGCAGGAAAATCGTTTGAACCTGAGAGGCAGAGGTTGCAGTGAGCCAGGATTGTGCCCCTGCACTCCAGCCTGGGTGAAAGAGCAAAACTCCATTTCAAAAAAAAAAAAGTAAAGGAATAAAGAATGGCTGTTCCATAGGCAGAGTAGCAGCATGGGCTGCTTGACTGAGTATACTTACTTCTTGTTTATATGCTAAACAAGGGGTGGAAAATTGCTTGAAGCTGATTTATGCGTTTTCTGGGAAAGGGGTGGAGATTCCCCTTTTAGACTAGTCGCGTCTTTAAAGCCTCACCTCTTAATACTGTTGCAGGTGCAATTATGTTTCCAACACATGAACTTTGGGTGATATATTAAAACCGTAGCAGACAGGGTGGGAAATGGGCTGCATGTCTAGCTTTTCATGTGCTGGAGTCTCACCCTCAAGGACCAAGAATATAGAAGGTTCCTTAAGGCAGAATTGGGAGAAAGAAAAAAAAATGGATGCTAGGCAGAAAAATACAAGACAGCCACTCTAGTTTTCAGTAAAAGACATTGAGGAAATGCTTTTCAAGTCTTTCCAGAGGGCTATGAAACAGGGTTGTTAAAGAACTGCAATGGTTTCCAAAAACCCCCTATGGGCCCTCAACCTCCCCCACCCCCAGGCCACTCCCCAGCAGGTACTGGGGTGGAAGCTTGGTGCTCTCAGTGGCCCACTGAGAATATTGACCTTCCCTCTGACTTCATGGAATCACAAAAGGAGTCCTAGAGCTTTTTGCTTCCAGCCTGCTCATATCCATATGAAGAAACTGAGGGGACCAAATGGACTTTGAAAACTAAGCTTAAAGTTAAGGTTAATTCCTGTGGTTAATAGTCTTGATGGTTACTAGTCTTGGTTTTCCAGCACTGACTCCCAAGCCAACACTGCATTTATATCAAAGTGTTTGCTAGAAATCAAAAGTTGTAGAAAACAATTCAAATTCAAAAACAGGCAAAACTCTTGTTCTTCATGACCACTTTTATTTTTATTTGTTTGGATGTTAGTTATTAAGTACACCCTTTTGGGATAGCATCCAGGAGAGACATTAAGGACAGTTGTTAAGAGTTTGCTCTGAAGCCAGACAAATCCATGGTCAAGCCTGCGCTTTGCCAGGTGTAAGTCATATACCCTCTCAGGCTTGTTTCCTCATCCATAAAATAGGAATAGTAACATTCCCTGCCACTTGGAGTTATTACAAGGATTGAGTTGATGTCCCCAAAGACTTTGGCATTGCACTTGCACACAGCAACACACAAGTATGACCCAATGTGCCACCAAAGTTCACTCTCTTGGTAAAATGTTGGAAGGGGGAAGGAAGGGATAGGGAGAGATTTGCTAAAGGGCACAAAATTACAGCTAGATAGGGGAATAAGTTCTGGTATTCTATAGCACTGTAGGCTGATTGTAGTTAACAACGACATATACTTTAAAATAGCTAGAGCGAGGATATTGAATGTTCCCAACACAAAGACATGATACATGTTTGAGATGGTGGATATGCTAATTACCCTGATGTGGTCACTATACATTATACGTATAGAAACATCACTATGTACCCAATATATACAACTATTTGTCAATTTTTTAAATTTTAACTTAATTTTTAAAATGTAGCTGGGCATGGTGGCTCACATCTGTAATTCCAGCACTTTGGGAGGCCGAGGGGAGTGGATCACCTGAGGTCAGGAGTTTGAGACCAGCTGCCCAACATGGTGAAACCCCGTCTTTAGTAAAACTACAAAATAAAAATAGGTGGGTGTGTCGGTGGGTGCCCGTAATCCCAGCTACTTGGGAGGCTGAGGCAGGAGAATCGTTTGAACTCAGGAGACAGAGATTGAAATGAACCAAGACTGCATGATTGCATTCCAGCCTGGGGGCAACAAGAGTAAGACTCCATCTCAAAAAAAAAAAAAAAATGCTGTCCTATCCCAATGAATGACCTTGCATAAGACACACCAAGCTCTCTTTTCTCATCCCATCATTTACTACCTCATTCATAAATATCCATGGGAATGGAGGGAGGAGGACAGGACTAGAAAGTCTACTGAATAAGTTGCCCCTGATTTTTCCATAAAGCTCAACAAAATTCTACCATAAGACTAGGAGCTATAAAGTGGATTCTGACGTCCACAGACAAAAGGGACACATTACAAAGCTCACCAATCTTAAAGGTATCTTGAAAACAAATCACTAGTTGGAACACTGATGAACAGAAATTGGAATGCAGAGCAATTAAAATTCTCACGCATTGTTGACAGGATGTAACATGGAAGCCACTTGGGAAAATGGTTGGGTGCTGTCACAGAAAGTTAAATACATGCTTATCATACAACCCAGCAATCTACACCTAGGAGTTTACCCTGAAGGGAA